TTGTTCAGGCAAAGCTTAGCCTGTTCCATTTGGAAAGAAAATGGTCATAATTTCCAGCCCATTTTAAACTCTTCCTTCTTAGAATTGTTACTGCACACATAACCTGGGTCACACAACTTAGTTTTCTGCAATCTCAATTCTTTTTCTAATTATTTCCTCTTCCCCAAATGAATATTAAGTTTGTTGTGTAAAGAGAATATACCTTACATTCCTCTTATATTCTTTCCAAACTCAAAGATTAGCCTTTGACCCAGAGTAGGTAGTGCACACAAACACTAATTTCATTTATATAGGACTTTAATATGAAAAAATACCTTTATGTCCATTCTTTTGTTTAAACTTCACTACAACCTCATAAAATAATTGTTATTATCTTTATTTTATAAACCAGGAAACTAAGGTTTAGAGAGATTAAGTATACTGCCAAGGATAAGGATCATACAGCTAGTAATTAGCAAATCCTGCGTTTGTGTATGTGCGTGTGTGTGCGTATTCACCTCATAAATCGTATCTTAAATATTCATTCATTAATGACAGCTTAATTGAAAACCTTTAAAAATATATTTAATTTTTTTTCTACTTATTAAAGTCTTGTTCCCTAACTTGTTTTTCTGGCTCTGAAAGCAGCTAGAAAACCATTTTGTAATTTGCAAAGATGTAGATCTAGAACCTAATTATTTCATTTGTACACAGAAAAGAAAATCTGTACAAATGTAAGAAGAAATGGCACAGGAAAATCCTCAAGTAATAAGAAACCATAAATTCATTTGTATTTTAGGTAATATGTTTATGGCAGATATTCAGAGAATTAACATTATTTTGGGGCATCATTATTTATCTGAAAGATTAGGAAAGGCGTGGAAGAGTCTGTGCGGTTAAGGAGAGCAAAAATGTTGTAAATAATATCAATTGGTAGACTCATTTGATTCAGTCAACAGGTTTTATGAAGCACCTGCATTTTCCGTCATGGCTGAGGAGTGGTTTTCAACACATGTTGACATTCGGGTAGGTCAGATACTCTGTGAGTTCAATCAAGATAACCCTGTTTACCCACTAAGATGACTCAGAGAGCTGCTAGAGACCTAGTTTTTCATTTTGATCTCGTGCTGCAAATGGTCAGCAACTCTGAGATTGATCGAAGACACCTGCCTCAATTATTATGCAATGATTCATAGATTCTTACTATAGAACATAACTGAGTATTTGGGTTTCCTCTTTCAGTTAGGGAGAGTAAACAAATTTCTTATTTATATCGACAAATCACAATTTGAGCAAGTTAAATATTAAAACCTATTGAAACAGAAAATGAAGTTGAGTTTAGGTATGGATCATGTCAAGAACAACTATTTAGTCTTTATTTGAGAGATGATGTGCAAACATTTCATGCTGCTTGCCTAATTAATGTCTTCAGTAATTTACTACACCTTTTACTTCATTCATGAAAATTTCAAAGGATTAACTATGAATGGATATTTGAGGAAGTTAACTTACTGGATCACCAAAGTAGAGAAAGAGTGGCCCAAGGAAGGGTGGGGAGTAGAAAAGTGCTCAGGAGATAGTTGTTGAAGCTGCAGAGAAATCTCTATTTCTATCTCCTGGTTTAAACCCTTCATCCCACTCAATGTACAAATTAACCTGAAATATTAATAGATCACTGTGCTTCTCCCTTAAAAATAATGCATAGGCATTTAGATTGATGATTACTGCTGCATTCAAGGTTCTGTAAATAATGATAACATAACTGTCTAGCACATTATATAAGATCACCTAAATTATAAGTAGAAGATGTATCACATCATGGTCAAGTCTAATATATGTAATTTATGGGCTGTATTCTCACTGTTGCAAGTGTCTGTTGAAGAGGGCAGGAATAATGACCCTTATCCAGAAAAATAGATGAAGTCTGTGTCTTTTTCTAAATCTGGAGTTTAAGAAACTGTGCAATCCAAAGGAAAATCCCTTTTAAGGGGAAAAATTAAATCATTTAAGATCACCCCTCCCACTAGGTTCTATTAACCACATTTTGTGAACTTAGTATGTGTCTGACACGATGATGAGTATAATGGCAGTGGTGGTAGGAGGTGTAAAAAAGTGTTGGACGTGTGCCTCATTTTCACTGTTAGCACTATTTCTTTGAGGAAAGGATGGCAGTCAGTCTTTTTCTTCTGTTTTGGGAACATCTCAAAGAATTATTAAAAATCGTTTTAACTCTCATTTTGTCCCCAAAGTCTTACGCTTTGATTATTTTTGTTCTCTGAACCTAATTTTACACTTTCTCATAGCTATAAGTATTCATCTTTTAAATATTTCTTTCTCTTCCAAGACAGCTTTCTCATATCTTATCTCGCCTGTCTTCTTTCTTTCAGATTTTTGCTGAGTTTCTTAACATAACTACTTTGAGCTCCATCGTGGTAATTTTTCCATCTGTTATGACTTTGTAAGCCTGTCTACAAACCTTGCATCATCGTCACCTATTGGTGCATAGAACTGAATTATTCTTCTTCCCAGTTCAGAGCTTATTGTACATCCACAAGACTTTTCTTTTGTTTAGCCATATACCTTAATCCATTTCTGCATCTGTTCTCCTTTTTTCATAGGCAAACATTAATCGTTTCATGCATTAATTTGAAGTTCATGAAACAGACATTATGTAGGTCAAAACAGTAAAATATCAACAATTTCATATGATTCAAATTAACATGTCTTCCCATTTCCCATTTCTTATTAAATGTAATATTCAAAAATTGAAAAATATACAATATTTGTATATTTCCTTTTCTGACTAAGTTAGTGGTGCCACCTGTATCAAATAGCTAGTTCCTACAAACATGGCGCTGTTCCTGGGTTCTGTATGCTTTTCCAGTAGCATCGGCTGCTGCCTAGTTATCACGAGGTACAATGATTTTCCTTTCCCTGCCAATATCGTTTTAGATATATATGGGTCTTTGCAGTTGTTGAAATAAATTTAGCTGATATTTGGCGATTAATCTTCTAATTTCAGAATACTTTCTCTCCTATTCTCCATCCCTTTGTCTGTTTGCTCTGTCTTTTCCATTTTCTTAACAGTATATTTAAGATCTTCCATTGCGTTTTTAATATTAACCATTGTAAGTTTAATATCCAAGGTCTTTATCATGTTTTCTGATTGTTCCTTTGTAACGGCATCTTATTCTTGATTCATGGATGTAATATTTTCTTTCATCTTTCTAAAAATATTAATCATAGTTTCATCTCTTTTCCTCCAACTTGCTTCTTATATTTTCCATTCCCGGTACCTAGTCATAGTTTAGAGTGGAGGTTTGAAAAGTGAATTAGAAGCTCTGTGCTCATGGTTGGGACTTGCCAACTGTGGGCTTCCCTATGGCCTATGCTGGCTAGGCTGCTCAGAGCCTGTAATGCCATTATCTTCAGGGCTTCCCTCTCTGGTTTATTAGTATTTCCAGATAATGATCTTCTGATCTCCAACCTAGATAGCATGAGGCTAGCTATTAGCACTCTGGTAACTGAGGGATCTCAAAGTTCAGTATGCAAACTTGCACTTAATCCCCCTATCCTGAGTATGCCATTTCTTTTTTCCACTAGGCTTGATGTCCCCCAGGTCAGAGAATCTCTGTTTTCCTATGTCTGGAGAATAAGCTTCCAGTTCTATTGTTGCGTGGAGTAGAAGTCACACAGACTGGAGGAGGGTATCTGAAGATAGATTTCATAAACAGTTTTAACCAGTCCTCTTTGGTTTTGTTTGGTTTCACCTTATCCCCACTTTCAGAGCCATGTGGTGCTAAAACTATCTGGACCTTGGGAAGATTTTGCCAAAGCATTAGAATAATTTCCCAGATTTCTGCTGCCAGTTTTGGATTCACTTTCTTAGTTCACGAAGTCATTTAATACTCATTCTTTTTTATCATCTTCTGAAGTTTTATTGCTATTCTCCCGTTCTCTGTTCTCTTTGTCCTTATAAGTTTATGCTTTGAAATATCCTTTTACCATTGTTTTATGGGGTTTCTGTGGGGGGTAAATTCAAAGGCACACATCTAATCCCCCATTTTTAACTGGAAATCCCTCTATTTTATTATTTGGTTCTTGTTTCTTTGGTTTACTTGGTTACTGTTTTATTGTTGCTTTGAGTAATCAATCACTTAACTTATTTATGTAAATCTCAGTTTCTGATAAATGTCTCTAAAATAAAAAATTTCATTAGTACTAATTTACTTCCAAAATTTGACCTTTAAGCTTTTATTGTTATTAAACTGTAAATATTTCACAGTTTTTCTTATGTCTTCCTCTTTAACCAAAAAACCCCCTCATTTTTAAATAATATGTTTTATTGTTTCCAGCAACATGGATCATGGAATTTCTAAATCTTAGTTTTGATTTCTGATCTTATTGTGTTGTGATCAGAGCTATAAGTCTATATTATACTGATTTTAGGAGGAGTATTGAAGCTTTTTTGTGGCTTATTGCATGATAGATTTTTTTTTTTTTTAAATTCCATGTGCTTGAATAAAAAAGTGTCCTGTATGTTTGTTGTGAAAAAAGATTCCTAGGCTAGGTGCGGTGGCCCACGCCTGTAATCCCAGCACTTTGGGAGGCAGAGGTGGACGGATCACTTGATGTCAGGAGTTCAAAACCAGCCTGGCCAACACAGCAAAACCCTGTCTCTACTAAAAATACAAAGATTAGCTGGGCGTGGCGGCGCATGCCTCTAATCCCAGCTACTTGGGAGACTGAGGCAGGAGAATCGCTTGAACCCAGGAGGCAGAGGTTGCAGTGAGCCGAGATTGCGCCACTGCACTCCAGCCTGGGTGACAGGGTGAAACTGTGTCTCCAGAAAAAAAAAAAAAAAGAGAGAGATTCCTAGGTAGTATAAATTAAGCTTATTCATTCTCAATTTTTTAAATTTAGTTTTTATTTTTGGTATTATTTGCAACTACTTGGTCCTTCTTCGTGGTTCCTCTTTCCTCTCTAAACTCTCTGTTTTTCTTTCTTGTTGTCATCCGTAGGATTTGCAGAAAGAACCAACAACTCCTACAGATGATGACAGTTCTCATTCTGTAAGTTTATCTGATCCTTATTTCATTTTACTAATACAACAATGCAATTTTGGCTGCTTATACTTTTCCATTTGGCTGCTTGCTATAGAGCTAGAGGGACTTCAAAGAGACTCACATGAAATATTTTTGTTTATATGAGTAGAAAAACTGAAGCCTAGAGAAGTTAATTAACTTCTGAAACTCTCAACTAGTTATTCTAATTAGTTAATCACATTAGTTAATCTAGTCTATTAACACTTTTCTTAACCTGAAGTTGAAGTTAAAAGTATCTTGACAGACCTAATGGTAAAGTATAAGATTTGTGAATGTACCGCTGAAGCAATGGATGTTTTACAAATGGAAGGAATTATTTTTGTAGCTCAGTACAATCTTCGCAATAACACAATTCTTCTGAATTCTTGATGCATGTATTCACTATTATTATTATGAACATGTATCAGACACATTGTTAGAGTTTCTTATTTCAGAAATGATTCCAGTTTAGTAGAGAAGGCACCTACATAAACGAGAGATCTAAGATTGTTAGATAAGTGCTGAAAGATAAGAAAGCTATGGGTCAGAGGTTTTCTGGTGAGGAGAGTGTTCACTCTTCCAGGAGGTCAGGGGAGGCTTAGCAGAGGATAGGTCACACCCTCTGACACCTCTCAGGCAAGAGTGCATCCTTTACTTTTGTCCTCTGTTCTCTGGTGAACACACACAGGAAACTGTAAGTCCTTTGGTATTTCGTAGAATATTTTGTGTGCTGTTGCAGAAGATTTTGTAGAGTTAAGTGGTTTTTGGACAGCCTTATGGATCATGTATCTTGTAAAAAATGGAAAACCAGTGGAAGATCTTAGGCAGGAAAACGGGTATGTGTCTGTAGTATTCATGCCTTAAGTATATTGAAACATCATTGGTGTATTCCTGCACAGACCTGATACATTTGTTTGGACATTTACAGGAAACCTTTCATTACTATTGGGCTTAGGGTTCCAACTTCTTTTTATTCATGATCATGAATCATGTCCCTAGTGAAACTATAATAAAAGTAAGATGCCAAGAACCCAGGTACAGAAGAGAAAAAGGTTGTCCCTAGTGAAACTATAATAAAAGTAAGATGCCAAGAACCCAGGTACAGAAGAGAAAAAGGTTGTCAAGATCCTGAAAGAAATTAGGGAAATCACTTGTGTTCTCCAGGCTTGTTAACTGCTCATCTTCCAAACATTTTTTTTGTCAGCTGGGTACGGTGGCTCATGCCTGTAATCCCAGCACTTTGGGAGGCCAAGGAGATCACAAGGTCAGGAGATCGAGACCATCCTGGCTAACACGGTGAAACCCCGTCTTTACTAAAAATACAAAAAGTTAGCCGGGCGTGGTCGCGGGCGCCTGTAGTCCCAGCTACTCGGGAGGCTGAGGCAGGAGAATGGTGTGAACCCGGGAGGCAGAGCTTGTAGCGAGCAGAGATCGCACCACTGCACTCCAACCTGGGCAACAGAGCAAGACTCCATTTAAAAAAAAAAAAAATTTGTCTATCTTTTCTTCTCTTCCCTCTCTCCTTCCTTCCTTTCTCTTTTTCTCTCCCCTCCCTCCTTCCTTCTCCCTCTCCTTCCCTTTCTTCTACCTTCTTTTCCTTTTTTTCTTCTTTCTTCAACACAGAGCATAAATTCTATATTTTTGTTTCTTTCTGGTTAGTCTTTTTGGATGAAGATGGTGTTATAGCAGTTCATACTCTATACCCATGGAGAAGAGTTTACTGGTAAACCATGAACTAGCCAGGGCTCATTTAAACCTGAGACAGAGTCAAAGCTCTAAGCTTCTTGACTTGGAGTTTATGGTATTTTAGTAGTTTATACACTGTTTATTCAATGGGAATTAAAGTCCATTTTTAAAGAATAAAATAAATTAACATAAACTTCAGCCCCAAAACTGCCTTTCATAAGCAGTAAAACAAAATCTTTCCACAGGCACAAAAATGTTGAAAAACAATGATTTTTCATGTTGGCTCAGAATTGCTTGCATTTGCATTACTATAATTATGTATCATCCAGAATGTTAACCCTGGTTTATTTTGTCATTACTCCATGTGCCTCTGTAGTTTTATACAAGTGGTAGTGGTGACTTGGTTATTGTTCTAAGTTTTATTACATTTTATATTGTGTGTTTTGTTTTGTTTTGTTTTGTATTATTCCAAGTTTGTATTGTGGTTCGTTCTTTCTAATTTTATTGTGTCTACTTTATTTGATTTAATCATACTGCATTATAACATCAAATGAGTAGAAAATTTTATTCTTCCCCCAAATAATTACAATTTTATACAGTTTAAAGTTGTGAATAATCATATTTAAATCATAGTTTCAATTTGGTTACTTTAATACATTTAAGGCTATTCTTCTATTTTCTCTTTAAAACTCAGAAAGTACAGCAGTATGGCTTTGTGTGTGTGTGCGTGTGTGTGTGTGTTCATGGGGGGAGTCTCTCAGATATTAATTTAGATGTTAAGTAATTCATCCAACCTGTGAGTATGCAGAACCAGGACTAAAACTCAGATCTTTTGAGTCCTATCTCTTTCTATCTTTCCTCTGCTATTCAGCACTTCACATAATTAATACATTAGTCCCATCCTTATCCTGTGAGATACTTCCCAGGACCCTAAGTGTATACCTGAGTATTTGGAGAGTATACACTCTGTTTTTGCTTTTTCTCTGCCTCCCTCCCTCCCTCCCTCCCTCTCTTTCTTTCTTTCTTTCTTTCTTTCTTTCTTTCTTTCTTTCTTTCTTTCTTTCTCTCTTTCTTTCTCTCTTTCTCTCTCTCTCTTTCTCTCTCTCTCTCCTTCTCCCCCCCCGCCTTTTTTTTTTGAGACAGGGCTTTGCTCTATTGCCCAGGCTACAGTACAGTGGCACGATCTGAGCTAACTGCAGTCTCTGCCTTTTGGGTTCAAGCAATTCTCTTGACTCAGCCTCCTGAGCAGCTGGGATTACAGGCACACACCACCACACCTGGCTAATTTTTTTGTATTTTTTGTAGAGATAGGGGTTTCACCATGTTGGCCAGGCTGGTCTTGAACTCCTGACCTCAGGTGATCCACCCCCACTCGGTCTCCCAAAGTGTTGGGATTACAGGCGTGAGCCACGGTGCCAGGCCTGCTTTATCTTATACATATATACTTATGATGATAATTTACAAATTAGGCACAGTAAGAGATTAGCAACAATAAGTAATAATAAAATAGAACAGTTATAACAATATATTCTAGTGAAAGTTGTGTGAATGTGGTATCTCTCTCTCTCTCAAAATATCTTTTTGTACTTTAGGTAACTGAAGACCACGAAAAGCAAAATGCACATAAAGGTTGAGGGGATTACTGTATACCCAGTCAATTACCTTGGTGTGTGAAAGTTCAGTAAAATAATTTTAGGTTGTCAAATCTAGTCCATGATGAACATTGCGAAGGCACAGATCAGGGCAGGGGAGTAGCATTAACCATTCTATAGTTACAAGGTAGGTATTTGTACCTGCTGGTGCATCAAGGCATAAACCACAAAATTTATAATAACATAACTTATCAACAAATATTTTCAAATTATAACATGCTTTATTGGGCCAATACATTTTGGATAATTTATAGGGTTGGTTTGTCCAACCTGCTTCTCTCATAAATCAACTATAAGAATGAAGCTCACTTTCTTTAGATCACACAACAATGGAGACAGAAGTGTCTGAGAATGTTCATTTCTTTCACTCGCTTGAACTATGATAGTACAAAACTTTTCCAAGTAGATGGATAATTACCCTGTATTTAAGATGCCATAATTTTGTAAAATGACCTTTTAATTTGATCCCAGTAGATGGATATTTAATTAACCTCATACAAAGATCAGTACGATATAATTTTTGAATTTTTATAGTTTAAAATCTGAAGAAATGATATGATCAATACTTTTGATTATTATAGGCATATTATGATACTGGTCATAAAGTACATGTAAAAAAACATGTTCTGGGAAATCAAAGTGATAAAGGTATCTGTAGCTTAGGCACATCAGAAAAGGCTTCCTGGTAGAAGGCATTAAGACGACATTGAGCAGGGCACTGTGGCTCATGGCTGTAGTCCCAGCATCTTGGGAGGCTGAGGTGTGAGGATTGCTTTAGGCCAGGAGTTCAAGGTTGCAGTGAGCTATGATCATGTCACTGCACTTCAGCCTGGGTTACAGAGCAAGATCTTGTCTCTCAAAAAAAAAAAATATATATATATATATATGTATATATATGTATATATGTGTATATATATAGTGAACATTAAAAGATGTGCAGGAGTTTAAGAAGGACCAGATGAGGGAGGGAAGAACTGTCAGTGAGGTGCATGTAAGAAGTAGAGGTCTGGAGTCACTGGAGTGTGCGACATGATCAGAAGGGAGCTCAGGTCCCCGCTAGGGAAGCCCTGCGAGGTAAACCTGGCCACACAGCAGAGGCAGAGTGGAGACAACCTGAACGCCAAAGTGAGGAATTTACAAATTACTCAATAGGGCAATTCTGGGGAATCAATGCCTATTTTTGAGGCAAAGAGCAACCAGATGGGGACAATACTTTAGAAGAAAGATCTCTTGGGTGGATTGAGTAACAGGGATTGAAAGGGGAGGGTAAGTGGAAGCAGGAAGGACAGAGAAAGAAGATCTGAGGCAGGTGGTAATGGAAAAGGGTTCGTAGGGAAGTGGATGATGGCGAGGAATTTCCTGGACTTGGCCACTGATTTGACAAAAGGGAAAAAGGAGACAAAGTTAAAAAAAAATGACACCTTCCCCTGGTGTTTCTCTCTGGGTGACTGGTAGCATGGTGGCTCCATGAGAAGAACAAAGAAGTCTGAGAAGCAGCTTTCGAGGTGGAGGTGAGGGTTATGGATGGTAAAGAAAAGATCACTTTACATCTAAACTAAATGCTTCATATATCAGCTTAAACCACTGGACAAATAAAGGATTTAACACCTGACCCTTTATTTTTCATGGGGCCTGTGTGATTTTTTTTGT